TAAATATGTAGATCTTAATAAAATGCGTGATATTTCAGTGTTATCCAGTAATTCCTAATGTCTTCCAACTAATCAAAATCATGTAACTTTGAAAGCTTTCTGTCTGTGTTATGGCCTGAGATAATCCTCATCATTTTCGTGGACATTTAAAAGTCTACTATTCGAAAAATTTTCATGTATACTTAGATATATTGATTTCGTGGTTTTGTCTGCACATAGTTATTCATTTTGAATAAAAACTGGCAAGAGAATATATATATTTATATATATAACAGCTGTTGACTTCATTAAGGTGTGTAACTGGCGTTCAATTCATGGAGAAAAATATCATTAACAACATCCCTATAATATTAACTTAAGACAATGTTTTAAATTGTTGCCTATGTTATACGTGGGTATATTCACTTATATCTAACTTGCAAACACAAAGTTTTCTGGTCAATATATTTGGATTAACCAATCAGAAATGCGTCAATACAATCCAAACGTTGTAGTTTTTTTTTTTTTTTTGTTAGGTCGAACGAATTTCTGAATTTTGCCAATCTTCCATTTTCCTGGAGAAATTTTTAAATATCATTTAAATTTTCATTGAATGAATTGACAAAATATTTAAATTTACTGTATTTGTTGATATCTAAAGCTGTGGCTAGTAGGACTAGATGCTGAAATACTGACGTCTAAGTCATAGATTTGAAATGAGTCCGTGATTTGGGCAGACAGGCAGTATGACAAGCAGTCACACAAAAGGTGTGGTGTTATAGCATGGGAATGCAAGTGGTTGTTTAGTAATATTCATTGACTAGTTGCTATGTGTTATTGATTGGTGTTATTAATTTAATTGGATAGTTTCAAAGAAATCTTTGGATTTAGAAACACTCTCCCTAACCTACTAAATTCATTTAGGGTATATTGAACACTTGGTTCACATATGCCAATCTATGCAAGGATAACTACCTGGTTATGAAACTTTGTTGATGAGTAACGGGAATAATTTTAAACACAATTCTGACAAGTGTTGGTTTTGTGGGTATTTTGTTTTATTGGTTGGAGGATTTCATCATGAGCTGACATCCGTGGAAAACCACCAGAGAGTACTGGACAGCTGTTTCGTCAGCCCAGTTTGGGTATTTTCGGCAGTACGCACTCGCCACAAGGGGTTCGAAACCAGGACCTTCTGGATACAAGGTTAGCGCGCTCGTAGACCATTAACCCACTGGGACCCGATCCACTGACCTGCCAATGAATTCCAACTTCCGCCAATTCGCGACACAGCGAGACCAGTTCTGTCGTGTTATGCTAGCATATTGTTGAAATGTCATAGACTGAGAGTAAACAGACATTCAGTGTAATTCCATTATGGAGAAGATTTTATTTTGATAAATCACACAGTGTTGTACAGTAATATTAACTGATAACCTTTGGAGCACAAATCATAATCAAGTCAAGTGAGTGACATGATATGATTGTGAGCAACAATTTGTGCTCGAAATGTCATCAGTTAATATTAATGTACAACACTGTGTGATTTATTTAAATAAAATCTTGTCTGTGATCCAGTTATACTCTACCATAGTGCCCAAGTTTTATACTTATGTCAGGAAGACTTTCAGTGTCGCGATAGTTTTCGGTGGTTAAGTATTTAGTTGATTTTCGAATCTATAAAAGTAAAACAAGTGTAATAAAATATACTATATATATATATTCTTTCTCTCCACTTAATACAGTAATAAATTTATTTAGTCAATGTACTTGCCAGTCCCGATATAACATAGATTCTTCGGTTAATGCCTTCTTATGCAGTGTACTTAGTTTCAGTCTGCTACGAGTTTTCGTAATAATTTTTTTTTCTTCCTTTCGAAATTGAAGAGCATAATTTTAATTATTGAAAACACTGCATTGATGTTTTGATAGGTTACAATTGTAGATGTGTTCATTAGAGGCATGCTGATGAAAGATTTTGGTAGTAGTAATAATACTTATTATTGTTATTATTACTATTATCATCATGGTATTGGGCTTAAAGATTTCATTTTATCATAACTGTTATAAATTGACACAGTTATAGACATACTAGTTACAATTATATATATATATATATATATATATATATATATATATATATATATATATATATATTGGACAGGTAAAAGGGAATCTTAACACTATTATTTTACAACAATATTTCCCATATTACTTATATTATTATTGTGATTGTCAACTGACCTAACACATATAATATGCATGTATACATATACATACGTGTAAATGTATTTTGTATGTTAGCTTGAGTACAGATACCGGTCTTCAATGACAATAAGAGTTCAGTAAAATTCTCTTAATGAAGTTATTAATATATTAGTATTTATGTAAATTTATTTCTGCTGACATGACCTATTCATATGCTTTAATGTATTCATGTTGTAGTGTTTACTAAATGATATAGCCTTAAACATCAATTTTAATATCATCAACAGCACACTTATTCTCTTCTTCAGTATATATATATATATATTCATAATGGTGACATTACTTAAATTACTACTATATCTTAAAACCATAGGATTCTCTATCGATGAACGTTGATATACTTGTAAAATAATGAAGTTTTGTATTCCTTTTTTCCCTTTGTTAATTAATACTTCACTATTTCTCCTCAATTTATAATGGACTTTCTAAGCTATCTAAGTTCATGACGCCACTATTATTTCAATAGAGAACTATAAGTGTTCGTCACAAGTGCGCAGTCTTTTCTATTAAAGAATTGTGAGACATTTTTAAACAGAATAATCCAACAAGAGAAAGATGTATATATATATATATATATATATATATATATATATATATAATACTCCTCAAGTGCCTTTCATATAGTGTAGATAGGAAGGTGAGGCTTTTTTCTGATGGTGTTTTCTTGAAAGAAGGTAACATTAATCCCTACTCAAATAGTATAACTCGAATATGGGTGCTAACTTTGCGCAACATGTTAATATGATAAAGCTGTGATTCGTGGTCATTTGGGGGCGTCTGCAAATAACCTATATAAAGCACACCTGGTCTCATTCATTTTAAAAGCTTTACAAATATTCTACTGTTGCGACTGTTAGTGTATTATTATAATATTATTATTCCCTTGAGTTCCGAGCGGAACATAGGATTTCAACAACACATCTCCATGTTGTCCTATCTTCTGCCGTCCTTTTCAGCTGGGTTCACAATTGGCCATAATCTCCCATCTCTTCTTCGCACGACCTCCACCATGTCGCCCTAGGATGACCCCTTCGTCACTACCTTTGAAATTCCACTGGAGTGATGGCCAGCATTATGCATTGAAGTTTCTTTAGCAGTTTGATAGCTTTTGTGGTGAAGGGTTGTTAGCTCCACGTCCAACACTCCCTCTTTACCTAGGCTTGGGACCGGCCAGTTAACTAGGCGAGGTTTACTGTCAGTGTAGCTATCTATTAATATTGTAGTCATAAACTGATCACTGAAAATGACATTGCTTCGAGTTTTGCATTCTTAGGCACTTTGATTGCTTTCTAACAGCTTGGTATCATATGTTAGTAAATTACTCTGTCTGTGATGTAATCACTGGTACTATTTCACGTAGCTATACACAAGCATCTTGAATATACTTGTCGTGCTGTGTTTTCAAGAATTTTCTTTAAAGGAGAACAGGAAGATTGAGCGAAGAAATATTTACTTTTTAATTAGATCCTCATCTCTGGCTCTAATCTAATATACATAGCATTTTAATTACTTACTTACTTTTTTACTTTACTTCGGCTATCTCCTACGGGAGGATGAGCCGGCTTCATGAACCATAAAGTTTCATGGGAATTGGGTACGAGTGATGTCCCCAGCATCGCTCGGGGACAATACACAATACACAACAATTTACCAATCAAGTGGCACTGATATATTTGTTGACAATAATTAGTCAGTGTCAAAATGTCAATGGGGTGATAATTAACAAACATATTCGCCACTTGATTGGTAAATTTTTGTATATTGTAATAAAAATGCTATATATATTAGAGGAGAGCCAGAGATGAGGATCTAATTGAAAAGTAAATATTTATTCGCTCAATCTTTCTGTTTTCTAAATGTCTAAATGGAGATTTTTTCTATATTAAAGGAGAATAATTAAATCGATTATGATGTGTTTGTACCATAAATTAAAAAAAAGATACTACCAACAGACAGACTTATGTCGGCTGAAACTTTAGCGGCTGGTAAAATTACCTTTAGCTACAAGTCTTATGCTCTGGTAGTAGTAGTAGTTGTTGTTGTTGTTGTGTTGATGGTGTGTTCATAAGAAAATAAAGAAGTTGAGAGGAATTTTTTGGTAAAAAAAAATGTATTTCTGTAATGCAAATAAAACTTAGAAATTCGATTACTCAGAACATAATTTTCCATTTACCAGGCTGTAAACTGCTCATTATCCAGTTGCTCAGGCTGTAATCAGTAAAGTGGGATTGTATCCCTAAACTCACACCGACTGGATGTCTAGTGATTATGATACAGAGACACATATCCACAAGTAAATGAAATACGAAAAATAAATGTTCAGTTAATTATAATGAGGAGAAATACTTTAGTTAGTTATATTTCGTTGTGGCATGTTTTTTTTTAACTAACAGTCTCTTCAGGTAACTAGAAGGAATGTGCTCTTCTTAATGGTATTGGGTCGCACTTTTGACACATTTCTTTGATTTTTATATGTATAAGTACTGGATTAATCATATTTGATCTAACTATGTATGCTAGATTTAAAAACGTTACTTTCTGGTCATCGGTAAATCACACTTTTTGTGTCTTGACTGGTTTTTCGTTCTTCATTAATATGACATGACATTAGAGATGATAATAAATAAAGTTAGTGGATGATTTTAATAAGAATTTGTGTAATCTTCAAAGTTAATCTTTCTTTTGCAGCCTGAACCTCCCATTATTATTACTATTATTATTATTATCATTATTTATTCTATGCATTTTACTAGTCTCTAGCACAATCGGAAGAAGCAGCTAGACAGTCAGCAGAAACAGCTGGTAGTATGGCTGTAGCAACAGCTACTGTTCAGTTAGCGCGTCGAGCAGCAGAAGTAGCTGATCGGTTAGGTCGTCCAGGTACACGAAACAGTTTATCACGTGTAGTATCACCAGGAGTAACAGTTTTAGGAAATGATTCTAATTCACCGTTTGATTCAAATATTCCATCGGATCATAGTGATGTTGATGCACCGGACAACTTGAATTCACTTTCATTAGATAATCCAAATACAGCAACTGAATTATTAATTAATCGAATGGAAGAGATGGCTAGGCGGGCACATCGTGCTGAAAATACAGCTCAAGAAGCAGCTGATCAACTGGAAGCTGAAAAACATTTCAAGCATATATATAAAGAAACCTGTGCTGAAAAAACGGATCAATTAAATGAAAAGGTAAATTACTGTTTACTATTTATTATACGCATATAATGAATGAAAAACTCTTTAGTTTTCATCTGTTAGTTTTCTTTACATGCGTATGTAGAAGATTCATTAGAATGCTTCTAACCGTATTTTACACCCACTCCCTAACCAATATATATATATATAGTATAGCACCAACTCGTAAGAATTGTCTTTATCTCGGCTGATATTTCAGTTATGTTTGCTAGTGCAGAGATTTTTACACGTTGTTTTACAATTTTAATAAGGCACACAATTACTTGGATATTGTTATAAATCAGAATCATTTAGCACTAAACGGAAGATTGATCTGGAAGGAAACAAAAGGATATCATAGAGGTTAGTGAAAGGATTCTCGTTATTGTGATACAGTTTGAAGTGGGATTACACCCAGAGGCCTCCCAACTGCTTGTACTTGACAATTAACAGATCGAAGCCAAGGAGCCTATAATTCATCACTTATAGGTTTTTTGAAGTAGTATTTTGTCTTTTCATGGAAATCGTTAGAATTCTTTCAGCTGAATGATACTTTTGTTAGCATTGTATGCCTGGGTGGATGGTGTCCTGGCCTGTAAAGACGCATAGTCTTATTCCAGTTATGCACCTTCCTATACCTAATTTATCTGTGTTTAACCCTAATATAACTTATTTTAAGGTTTCACATCATATAAATATCACGGTAAAGTATGCACTAGTGGGTAGTAACACTTTTATCACATCTATGCAACTCCCTTTTTATTTAGTGTTCCCCACCTTCAATAAATTAACAATTTGAATAAATCCTTTATTTAATGGTAAAGGAGGTCATTATGTGATCGGTTCATTCCATTTAAATATATTATTCGACTATATTTATTCTATTCTATTTGGTCATTCACTTCACCATATAAAAATCTATTTTTCTTATTTATTAAAGACTCGTGAATTAGGAGTATTACAGGAGTTGTATGCACAAAAGTGTAAAATGATTCAAAGGACTAATGAGAAATATGAAGCTGCTCTAAGAGCTCTTGATGAAATACAACAAAAAGTTGGTCGTTATGTAGAAGCTGCACAAGTAATTCATTTTTTTGGTTTTCTTTTTTTAATATTTTTGTCTAATGGGCAAGCTGAATAGATTTCTTTGAATTTTGGTTTTTTTTGGTGATATATTGATTCAAGACTATATCAGAATGAGACTGGTCATACCGCAATCGATACCACGTACTTGGCAGTTATGTTGCGAGTAGCTGTCAGTAAATATATGTTCTTATCTAAGTCCGTCGAGCAAATAATCAGATGTGAACTAGTAAATATGGGTTGAAAACTATCTTTTTGTAAATTAAGCAAATATGTTGCCTTGTGACTAATTTTCAGCAACTATTTTAAGAATATGTAGCGAAATAGCTCACTTAATTGAGAAGTGAGCTGACGAAATATCCGTAGTGATGCAGAAAACTTGTTCGACATTTGCCAAGTGATGTCATCTTTGGCGTAGTCGAAGGGTGTTTATGTGAATGTAGTCTTGTTCATTTAATTTCGATAGTTTATTTGGCTAGAGGATTTCATCATGAGCTGACATCAGTTAGCGAACCATTGGAGTACTGGACAGCTGTGTCATGAATTGGCAGAAGTTAGAATCCATGGGCCATTGGATAAAGTCCAGTGGCTTGCTGATCTACGAGCTCACCAGCTTTGTAACCAGAAGATCGTAGTTTCGAACCCCCCCTGTGGTGGGTGCGTACTGCCAAAGATACCCAAACTGGGCTGACGAAACAGCTGTCCAGTACTCCCAGCTGGTTTTCCAGTGATTCTCTAACTGATGTCAGCTCATGATGAAATCTTACAACCAATCAAACGAAATTCCTACAAAGACCAATACTTGTCTTTCTAAACAACATTGACACCAAAGTTATTTCTAAAACCCTAAACCAATTCACACTTTTCTCGATGTTTATACTGCACAGTACTTTTCTACGTTCTACTTAGCGTTTGTAAACCGTTATCGCCGTTTTAGAAAATCTTTCCTTAATTTGAAGTTGGCACATGATATGATTGTTTTTAAGAATTAAAGTGGCTTTTGAAAATCTTATCAGAAACGAACTGAGTTGGTTTGTCTTCATAATATGCTATGTAGTAACTGTGCATAAGAAGTACCAAAAGGATGTTAATTTTACTTATCACATTCACTCAAATTACCCCTGTAAGTGAGCTATTATTGTGCTTATAATGTTTTTTTTTTACAGAGTTCGAAAGAAAGTGCTCATGCGGCAAGTCAGCGAGCAGCACTAGCCAGTAGTGAAGCGGCTCAGTTACGTGTTGAACTTGAACGTATGACTCAGGCTTATAAAAAGGAGCAGGTCAAATTTAGTGCTACAGTTAATAAGTTAACTGAGGTTAGCATTATTATTATTTATTCATATGGTGATCATATTATATTTATTATTGATATTAGTATTAGCATTATTTTGATGCTATTCACTTTACAGCTACATTGTCATTGATACTAAACAATTTAGCTGTTTTTGGTGTAAATTGTTAAAAATTAAGCAATATCCGTTTTTTTTGCAGTATTTACTTTAACGTCAGTCACTAAGCTGCCCTATGTATCTTAATTTGATCTGCTGGTCTGGAAATCTGTGTCTCTTTTTTAACCAAAGCAATAATCACAAACTCTACTTTTGTAGTATTCATGTAATTGCATTGTCCGAAGGAGCGTATCATTGGTTAATCGGAACTTTCCTACCTTTTCAGTTGAATCTTCCTGTCATTATTCTTGAGGAGACTGGTTCCCACTGCATAAGACCTTTGATGCTATTGATCATCGACTCACTTGTCAACAATTTGGAGAGTCCACTTCTATTCCATTTGTTCTCACAGATTCCTAGCACTTTTATTCCATATTTGCTCATTTATTTAAGGAACCTGAACAGCTTTCATCGTTCCGAATATCATGCGGACATTCCATGTCCCCATGGTTATTTTTGCTTACATCGAAAGAGCGCAAATAGGAACCCAAGGGAATTATAATTCATGTAAATTAGTACATTAGAAGTGTGAATTAGTTGGTTCAATAAAGTTCATATTAGTTACTGTTTTCTAACTAGAATAGTCTTTTCTTAAGATTCAATCGTTTATACATCTTACAGAAATTTCATCGTGTTATTTATCTATCTAACAAATGTATTTTACTCATAAGTGGTCATGTAATATCTTGTTGGGCAGTATATTTCCTCAAAAGAGAACCCTTTTGATATTTTTAGATCAGAACATAGTCGTAGTTCGTCTGAATATAATTCTTTGCTTTAGCGAATCAGTTTTGTCGTAATATCTGGGAGATCTTGGTTCATTGTGGAACAAAGGATACACAACTAATTAACTGGATGAACTCTAATCCGAGAAAGTCTTATCCCTACTGAGACTCGATTTCACATATTATTTCATCCCCCGAGGCGTTGTCTACATGAAAACTCAAACAAATTCAAATGAATATCTTTGCATGTATTCTAGCAGCTGATGTGCTAATAACGACTGATCAGTTCTGTCTGTTAGGAAGGCAACAGTAAATGTTGACTTAAAAAATAATTACTGATACAGCCGAAGGTCGTTTTATGCTTGTACCTCTGCAAAAAACCTGAATAATATTTTCAAGTAGTTGGTTCACAGGGATTTGGTTGATTCCAGGTTTGATTTCATCACCAACTGATATTTGCGTAAATATTACCTAACGCGAATTGCTAGAGACTAGAATTAATTGACCACTGTTTCTTGTACCAGTGGTCTTGCCTCGTGACTTGAAAGTCTCTTGATTTCAATCCCTAGCGTAGTCATGTGTACGTATTGCCGAAGAATACCAAACTAGGACGGAACAGGTGTCCGGTAGTTCTTGGTTTCCGGTGATTTGTAGTAATAATGACTCTATTCTGGATAGTATTTATATAATGTGCATAATTTTTTGCCGTGATTGTTTCATGATATATTCTCTCCATCCAGGATCTTTAAATAAAATATTATTGACAATGGATAGCGTGACACTGATATCTCATCTGAAGAGCAAATCAATCCATTACGATAATTCTTCTTTGTCTCCGGAATATACATGACATTTGATACCTAGGGAGATAAAACAGAAACAGTTGTCTCATGTATTGGTATATATCACCATCCTCAGTGATGCTTTTTTTCAAGATTAGTAGAAACATGTGAATCAACCGGTTGCAAACACTTTAGTACCCGCGAGGGTAAATAGTACCATTAAAGGTCATAATTTAATAGATGACAACGAAGTGGATAAAATAAATTATATGCAATTTAATGATTAAGGTTTTCGGTAGCCCACATTTTAAACAGTCTACCGGACTGTAGTGTGGTTCCTGATGAAACGTCACTTGAGACGAAACCTATATAACTTGAGAGTATTGTTCTTAAAACATCATTGTATATAACTGTCAGGTTTCCATTCGAGAAGTGAGTATAATGAATTCCTTACTTTTTATTTGGTGGATCTTTTTCTTCTACAGAAAGTGTTTCTTCTGTCTTTGTATAGTATTTTAAGAATTTCTCTTTTGTCTCAGAAATACTCTTTATGCCACCACTGTAATATTCCAAGATTCGCTCTACTAATGGACGTTTTTCTATCGAATATGTTGGCGTAAATTTGACAAATAATGACTATTGATGTCTGGAATGCTACTTAGTTGTGCATATACATGTGATTATAAGTAAATTAAGTTCTATTTTTCCGTACTGAGTGGCATGATACAGTGAGTAATTTTGAGGTTAGACATAGAGTGTTAGGTTAGGGGAATAAGTCAATCGTAGAGGTTGTGAAGGTGAGTTGATTGAGGTAGCTAGAACACGTGTTGCGCATTTTGAGCATTTTTCACAGAAAGTATTAGCCAGCATAGGATCAGGTTGGAAAAGAGTTAAGCGTGGTCAAACCAACACCTGACATCAGTCTATGAAGCATTCGACAGCTAATTGTAGCTACAAAGAGATTATTCGGCAGCTTGATTGATGTTCTCAGGATTCTGTGAACGAATGACTGGCAACTATTGGTGATATGACTTGAAATCGTTCTCGGTGATGCAGATGCATCCGCTCTTTTTGATCTCTCATATCCATTAAATCCTACCGTTTTTCCATGCTATTATTTTGACTACCTCATATTTCTGCTTATTTACAGCATTTCTGAATCCTCTGTTTTTTTTCTTTTACCTACTTTTCTGTGCTTCATAGAGTATGGCCATTTTAAATTGTGTACTTCTTTACGAAGTTTTATGTTAAAATTCAGTCAGTTAGTTAGTCAAATTAAGCTGAGGAAAGGATTTATGTCAACGGATTTGAATAGCTCAGTAACCTGTTGTCTAGCGTCAGGCATCGTATGTTTACTGCACTTTGTTGTGTGTTGCTTGTGGATGACTTAAAATTGTGGGGATGTACATTATCTTTAGTCTTTATTTCCGTGTTTAATTCATTAAACTCCTTTGCTAAAATACCTAGGCGATTGATTACTGTACAACTTCATTGCGAATATTTAGGTATATTATAAGCAAGGTATACTTTTTAGTATTTCTTCGTCTGAGTATATACAATGCCTTAGAGATGGAAGGAAATACACAATAAAAATTACTGCAAATAAGAATAGAACTTGAACACTGTGGTAGAGCATGATTCCATCATAGAGTAAATTTTTGTTTATTCGAGACGTCATCAGTAAATAATACTTGATAAACTGTGAGACTTTATCATATATATTTAATCCATGATGAATATTACTGCACACTTCCCTCAATTCATACCATTGTTAGATTGGTCGAATGTAACATATATGGACAGTTAAACTGTTATTTTATTAAGCATTAAATATTTTATTCAGACAAGTGAATGAGTCCATAAACTGAAGGCACAGAAACGTGTTTTTCTGTGTGTGTTAATCCATAAAATGTGTGAAAATTAAGTTCCGTAATTTTCTATATCGACTTTTTTGATTATATCATGACCTTACAGTGACTACTGGTTTTCTTTTTTTATCACATTTTGCAGATATTTCTACCTAATCTGTTCTCTATCTGTTTGCAGGCCGCAAAATCGATCAAAAAGGTTTACAGCTTGTATTGATGTGTATTTGTGGCGTTTTTCATGCTATTGCTGTCTCTCTCTGTATTCTTGCTGCCTTTTCGCTATCTTTAAATTCTGTCGTACTTTTATAAGTGTTTTTCTTCCCGTAGTTGATGTTATAGAATTACACAGTTTTAACACTGGTGTAATGTTTTATCTGTCTGTCTGTTTCTGTATTTGAAAATGTGATTCATTACATTTTTTTTTGTTTTTGTTTTTTCCTCATTATTTCATTTCCACGTGTCTATTCATAAGGTTTTATCTGGCAAGAATCCGGACACTCTGGAATTAATGTGGCTTGCCAGCTTTCAGCAGCAACAACAAGAGCAAGATGGCGGTAGTCGTACTGTTAGTCCATTCTTCCTCGGCTCTAATTCAGCTCGTAGTAAAGTAGCCAGTTTAAAAGGACTAGGACAACAGAAACGATTGAATTTACAGTTGAACCAACGTTCGAAAGAGAATAAACGATTATTGTCTGAAATTAATCGATTGAACGATGAATTATCTACATTGAGAAAAGAAGTATGTGATGGCAATTAATTTTTTATTACTGTTTTTTCCCATACTTTACTCTACACATTATTTTTTTTTATAACTCACTGATAATAACAGATGAAGAAACCAGAGGGTAGTGAGCACTACCAGTAATAGATCAATAATATAGTTTGGGAATGAATTTGTAAAAACATTCGAAATAACTGTATATTCTTTTCGTTAAACTATGCCCCTTTGGTCAAAATTAACTTATGTCGTTCATAGTTCATCTTGACTTTTAAGCTTTTTTGATGGCCATAGGGGTTGGTTTAAAGTTTGGGTTGTAATTCATAATTCTGTTTAATTAGTTCTTTAGATCGCCTCATCTTAAACACATACCATCTTATTGGTAATACGATAGTGAATGTTTATCTAAAGGACTTGATTTTCAACTAAATTGCCTCACATGTTGAAATTTTGTCTTCGCTTCCGGGATCTGGATACACAGACAAGCAGTCAGTTTCTCTGACTTATCTACTAGGTTTCCAAAATTTTTTTTCAGAAGATTATATTAGTTAATTAGAGTAAAATATAAAGTTTTGCAGACTGTATAATTAAGCTGTTGGGCTTTTCGGTACACATCATGAAGATGTATTCACGACCTTAGAATAAAATTATATTCAAGTGTCGGTTTGTAGGGATTTAATTGGTTACAGTACTCTTCGTCAGTACGCACCCACTGGTGTTCGAACTCAGGACCTTCTGGGTTGGCTAGGGGTCGCGCTATGTCGTGAATTGGTAGAAGTTAGAATTCATGGGCAGGTCATTGGATTGGGTCTCAGTGGCGCAATGGTCTACGAGCTCGCTAGCTTTGTAACTAGAAGGTCCTGGTTTCGAACCGCCTGTGGTGAGTGCATGCTTCCGAAGAGTCTCAAACTGGGCTGACGAAACAGCTGTGCAGTACTCTCAAGTTTTCCAGTGGTTCTCTAATTGATGTCAGCTCATGATGAAATCCTGTAAAATTATATTCCTTTAGAGATTAAAACTTGGGTCAGGCAATGTTGGCATCAAATGATTGAATTACTGATGAAAAGTTGGGTTGTATTTATGCAACACTTATAAGAAACACACAACTACTGCATTGAATAAATTAAAATTCATATTATAGTTCTTCCTGTATAAGTGACATACATTTCACAGCTTGAGGTACGTTGAGCAAAAAGATAACGGAGATGATGAAAACAGCTAATCCTCATCAGCAGGCACCAATCACCATTAATGGGAGAAATTTAAATGACGTCACTTCTTTCACGTATCTAGGATGTATCCTTTCAACTTCAGTCGAAATAATTGAAGATATCAAATCTAGGATTGAAAAGGGCAAGATAGATCACTATTAATCTGAAATCAGTATTAAAATCTACTGTACTTGGCACAAAGAACAAGATTTTGATTCTCAGAACTAGTTGCAAGACAGTCACTGCTTGTATATGGTTCAGACACTCCGTGTGTCACCGAAAGCACTTCCAACAGGCTACTGCAGACTATCATCAACAGTCGTCGTCGTTCCACATTGAAGATTAAGTGATTAGAAAGGATTAGTGACAAGGAATTTCGGGGAGGCGATGGACCAACCAAAAACTCATAATTTTTTTTTTTTCCGGGGGCCCAACCGGGTTTAATATTTTCCCCTCTTTTTGGCCAGGGGGGGCGGCGGGTCTTTGGCCAAACTTTCCGGGCGCTCGTGGGTTAGGTTCCCCTAACCGGGCGGGCTTCCCCCTTTGGAAAACCCCCAGGGGGTCCGGGAAAGCCGGTCATATGGGAGCATTTCAAGGGGAGTGCGGAGGGGTGGCCAACCCGCAGCGCAGGGCACCCACCCCCGACCATCCTGAGGCTTTGGAGGCTAAAAACTCATAATTCAACAAATATGTCGAAGAAAGTGTCGATGAATCGGACATATACACTGAAGAGACCGTTGAGTGAAATCAAAAGCAAGACGCGCTTTTGAGTGGAGCCCGAATGGGAAACGACGAGTTGGGTGTCCAAGGATGAGATGGTGTGCGGAGAAAAGATGAAAGCTCATGATCATATGTGGAATTAGGGGAAAAGGAGTGAAGAGTACAGTATAAAGTGAGAAAGTACTGTTTAATTCCCATGTTCCACTCAGAACCTGAAAGAATATTGATATAATCACTGAGAAATTAACACTTCATTATTGTTTTTCTCATTGAGTTCGCAAGTGAAGCCTGTTGCTGTTGTGTTTTTTTTTTTTCATAATTAATAGTAATTACTACCATTTAACTTATGCATCCATTTATTTTAACTGTAAAAGTTCTACAATTAGTCGAGATAATCACTTTCTTGTAGACTTATGCACACATTTCTACATGTTTGTAAAAACCTTCTTTAACAGTTTTTAAAGAAATCCTAGTGATAATTTCACTAAAAGGAAAACTAAGAATTTCTCTATGTAGGTGCTGCTGTACACATACATTTGCACATATGTATATTAATTAGTGAAAAATAAAATGAAATAATTATGGATGTCTTTGTTACTCTGTTTGTTTGGATTGTTTTTGTCCAATTGTGCAAAAATACGTCATTCATTAGCAGTTACCCTTTTTTTTAATTAATTAAATACTGTACGTTAGTTTCATAATTGACATGTTTATAACATATCGATGTATGTAACAATTTTTTTTCTGCGATTGATTCCTTCCATATATATATTAGATGGATTGAAGATATTCGAAAGGAACAGCTGGGCCTTGATTGGTCACTTGCGAGTAACTGACTGACTGACTGACTGGTTTCAAAATAGAACTTTGCAACGATTTGCAGCAGTTCGAGTCGCCACATATAGCACACGAAGCACGAGAAAAAAGTTTAAAAAAAATGCAAAATCGAGACAGTAAACAGAGATATGAGGCAAAAAGAATAGTAATATCAAAGAACCATGTAGTTTTGTTGGATATGATAAGTCAGAAGGAGTGGATTCATCTGCATAAGCCATTGAGAACGACTTCGAGCCGTATCACCAATTGTCTCCAGCCATTAGTTTTTACCGTCCCGAGGACCCCAACCCGGAAGGCTGCACCTTCCTACGTGGTCTAAACTAACTGTTGTGGATTTCATTAACTGATGAAGCCATGTTTTGGTGTAGTCACCACCAGCTAACTCTTTTCCAACCTGATCCATCCTACGTCAGCTAACATTACGCGTCGGTCTAGGAAGGCGATTGCTTGACAGACGTATTACATGTCCTAACCATCTGAATCAATGTAACTTCACAACCTCGTCGATTGATTTAGCCTCCCTACCCAGCAGTCGATCGACACCTGACCTCAATACGACTTCACACGGGAGATAGAACCCAGGCACCTATGATCAAAGACAACTAATCTTTTCATGCCCTTTAGTGGATAGCCAGCCGGATGTCACATCTACGCCAGAGAGGGTATAAACTGGCATATGCAAAACAAGCCTTCTGTGTCCGTTCTGAGATTTCGTCAGAGATCAACCCGTTGGGGTTGATGCGACTTCCCGAATAATTGAAGTGGTCAATACACTCTACCATTTCACTCCCTGCCTTAAAGCTAGGAGTCGGCAGAGTACAGTCATGTGGCATCACCTTACATTTGACAGGAGCGAATTGAATGTCATGTATTCGAAGACTGTTGCTCAAGGCGTTAGGAAGACTCTTCACTCTGTCAGTGTTTTCACCTAGAAGGACTATGTCATTTGTATATTTTAGTCAACGAGGTTATTCCATAACGGTAACAATTCAATCCCTTAGTCGCTGAAGTCAGTTAAGGTTTAGTCCATTAGTACATCTATGGTGGAAATAAACAGAAATGGGTACACTGGGCAGCCCTGATGGACATCAATAGTTGTCAACACTTCAGATGACATATAATATGTTCTAGGGTGCATTAAAATGTTTACTCACTTGTCAGTGAACATATATATATATATATATATATATCAGCGAAAATAATCCATCGTAGCTAAAGTCACTCTGACCTTGAACAACCAGTCAGAATTCAGATTCAGAAAAGTCGGACAGTCGTCGGAAAAGTGCTCTAAACAACATTGAAAACATGATATTACATTGGATAACTGTCTTTTATGTGTTTTATGAATGTCTACCAGTTACTCTGAGGATAATTCATAGAGAAGTAATACTATGCGCGATAGATATATTCATCCAGGTGACTGTAGATTACGGTACTACTGGATCTATTGATATTTGTGACACTGTTCTTCGGCCTAACCTGAACTCTGGTTCTACTCTTAACCCTAAACCCCAATCCTAACCCATATCTTAAATCTCATACCTAAATTATACCCTAAATCTTGATCATAACCTTTTTTTATTCCTTTACGTTCCCAGTGGAACATAGAACTTCAAGCTAGAGAGGTTGAAGTTTCTGTAGCAGTGGTGATGGGGTTGCTAGCCTTATGCCCAATCTTCCCTCTTTACCAGTGTTATTACTGGCTCTGCGAGGTGGAGGAGTGCGTCGGCCGAGGTTCGAACTGCGGACCACCTGCGTGGTCGGCGAAGATTCTACCACTGTGTCACCGACGCGCCAATCATAACCTGTAGGTTGGGTTAATTAAGAAAAATTAAACCTACCCGACACTGTCGATTTGCAGGAAAATGTACACTAGAAATAAGTGGAATATTGCAACTATCCTCACCAAATCCATAAATACAGACAGAATTCGATTTGAAACTACCATTCGTAGCGTTCTCTGAATATGACTGGCTTTCGTGGAGTAACTGTTTTCAGATCGTGACTTTGTCTATGGTGGTTCATATATATATATATATATATATATATATATAAGATGGTATTCATGAACTATTGGATTGGATCCCAATGGATGCGTACTGCCGAAGAGCCCCAAACTTGACTGAAACAACTGTCCATTACTCCCACGTTTTCCAATAGCTTTCTAACTCGTGGTCAAAGTTGTAACCGAACAAATCCAACACTACATATCTGTATGTTCATGCTCGTCTATGTTTTTTGAATTGGCCTGACAAACGTTTCGAGGTCGCTTTAAGCGTCTCCTTCTGTATTTATAAAAAGGAAATGGAATAGTTCTAGTGGTTTTACAAAGTTTTATAGAAGATTATTCTGTTGATGTCAAAAGCTATTAAAGTTTACGTCATAGTAATAAAACTACTTACAACACTCAGTTTCATATATCGCTATATATATTCACTTATTGAAATCAACAGAATTTTCAAAATATTGTAATGAATATAGGTATAAAACTGTCAGTTGGAATTCGGATATTTAATGATCATTGAATTACATTAACCTTCATAAAAAGAAAATAATAATGGATATACATTATAATTAATTGACATAATCCATTTAAACAGTCATTAAAAATTCAGAAGAACTGAATGAATTTTTTCTGTTCTTATAAACTACCGATCATATCATTTTTTTTCATAATAGTAATGTCATGTGGAATATTTCTTTGCTTTTTGAACAGAATAGTCTTTTATTCAGTAATTGCAGTGTTCATTATACATTAGACAGCGTTGACCCCAAATTGATTTAGGAACTACTTCAGTATTATGGAGCACAGTGTCACTAACCTTTATCATCCTCAATTACCAGCTAAATGACAATGCCACATGTCAAGTGATCTACAACGGAAACCTCAGCGTAGCCTTTGAAGTGAATACAGGAGTCAGACAAGGCTGTCTATTATCACCTGTGATATTTCTGATTGTAGTGAACTAGGTGGATGATGGGGAAACCCATGAAAACGGGAACACGCTCTACGGACAAGAAGACTCTAGAAGACCTGGACTTCGTGGATTAGTTATGCCTGATGTCACACATATTTGAAAGCCCACAGGGGACAGCCGACCAACAAGTTTGCAGGAAGCAGCAGCGAAGATAGCACTTCATTTGAACATAGAGAAGACAGAGTTAATGGAAATACTAATCTAATAAACTGCCAAAAACATCAGTCACTATCAACAGAAGTAATTTAAAAGAGGTCACTTCTTTCACTTATCTAGGAAGCATCGTTTCAAATACAGTCAAAACGAATGAAGTTGTCAAATCTAGGATTGGAAGGGCGAGACACATCATTATTAATCTGAAGTCAGTGTAAAAATCTACTGTGCTGGGCATAAAGAACAAGATTCCCGAGTGAAACCTAAGTAGGAAGCAACGAGTGTTAGGTGTCCGAGGTTGATTCAATGTTAATTGTTTCCTTTGTTTAGGTGCTCCTCCAAATGTCATTCTTCATAGTAAATTTAGAAGTAACCTACACTTTTACTCAAGATCTCAGACATTTTAAATAAGTGTTATTTGAAACATTGTGAATTGTTCACGTATAACTTGTTCAAAATGTTTACACTTCACTTTGACGCGTTTTTATTTGTAAAACAATATGATAAAATCTTCATTTTATTTTGATCTAAATTACATGGAAAGTAGCTTAGTGCTTACTATAATACACAACAACTGTCGTTTTTAATCTAGCAGGTAGGATATAAGTTAAGTTTCCGTTGTGTGTGTGAATAAATTCTAATAGCTAATAGGTTGAGATAGGCTGTTAACCGCTGTCTATACATGTGTCCAATGATTATTTAAATTTCACTACAGTTTTGTTTCTCTCCTTAAACGAAAACACTTTCTCTACTACACATGACTTATCTTAGGTTATGTTGCTATATACATAATAGTTGTGTGTTCTTTTTTTTTTTTAAAAAAAATGTTTGATTGTCTAGACTGAGAGTTTTCGTGTCTTTTTTTAACGACACTTCCAGTTGTTTTTATCCTCCACTTACTGACTACTACTAATTAAAATTGGACAAAAATTTGATGGACGAACTATTGTAAGAAATCTAAACTTAACAGTGTTTTCTGAATGGTTTTTTCACTAGAAAATTGAAGAAATTAACTGACATAAATAAGTGAATCTGTAAATTTGGTCTCATTTCTGTAGTCAATTACGTACTTTGACATAATTTAAAGATACATAAAGATACTCACACTGAGTTATTTTTTGAAAGTTTAGTACCGTGAATACATGTGTACTTTGCAGCAGTTTACACTGTCCTGCTTTATTGCCTTGAGACGTAATTGTTGACAGATAAAGGAGTGCATAGATTAGCCGTTTTTAATTATTTGTGTCTAAGCTCAATTTTTCTTGTTAAATAATACAATATGATCAGTAATAATGAAGTTGGGTCTGAAGAGTTAGGTGAGGGCGGTGGTGGTGGTGTTGGTGGTGGTGGGGGGGATCAATCGATGAGATTATGAAGGTGCATCGACTGAGAAGGGTAGGAAATGTGCTACGCCTACAGGATCGTTGTCTTCCGAGGCAAGCATCATTAGATGAAGTACGATAAGGTTGGAGAAATATAAGAGGTGGTCAGACACAAATATCATGCTGATCCCTGAACCTATTAACTGTTAGTTTGATACACACACTTACACAGAGGTGTGTACTTCGTGGTTTGGACTCTGAAGATAATGCTTATAAATCGAACATTGGAGACAAGTTGTTTTAAAACCATCGAAAAAGGGTAGATACATTCACTCCTTGCTATAAGGTAGATTCCCGAAATCCTCACTAGTGTTCATGTGATTATTCTTTCTTCCATTTATCTCTGTAATTCAGTTACATAAAAGATATAAAGACACTGGTAGTGAAATTTGATCATGTTATCAATATAATGACTTGTCAACCATTTATTTATTTATTAGTCAGTAAATTCGAAGGTATTTACACCATTTCATTAACCCGAGCCACCTGAAAGCGTTATAACCGCTTCAGACATCTATTATATATATATATATATATATATATATATATATATATATATATGTATTTAAAATCTCTACTGTATTGTTTAATCACATTCCTATGATGATTATTACTCAGATACAGTAAACAGTTGAATAAAAGTAATTAGTAACTCTTTAATCATATCATTATTGTTTTTGTTTCTTCTTGTTTCTCATTTATTATTTTTTTTATTAAGTATGAGAATAAATTACGTTTAAATGAATCGCATACAGTGTCACTTGAATCAGAATTGGCTTCGCTCAAAGAACAATTACATAGTGTATCAATTCCTAAATCCTCACCTTCACAACAAGATATAGACGATGATTCACTGGGATTGCGTCATTATCATCAATATCATCAGTTACCACAACAGCAGCACAATCTGCATACTAACAATAATAGTCAAAATAACTATTATCAGAATCATCAACATGCCCAACAACAGTTGCCTAATCACAGCATACTGTTAATCAGTAAACAAGTATTCAATTCAGATAATTATTCCAACTTATCGAATAATAATAACAATATTAATGGTAAAAGTAATCATATTACTGAATGTGATTCAGCTGTGAGAAAATCATTTGTACGTCCTAGCTCTACAATACCGTCTACAGTAAGTTAGTGCGTTTATTATGTTGCGCTCTATATATTTTGTTTTCTTTCATTCACGTTCCCCAGTGGAACATAGGGCTTCAAGATAGTTGCTTGAAGTTTCTGTAGCAGTGTTTATTTTACAGGATGAGGTTGCTAGCCTCTTTACCAGTCTTACTGCTGGATAAGTGAGGTAAAGGAGTGCTTCGGCCGGGGATCGAACCCCGGACCATGTGCATGGTTGGTGAGCGTCCTATCCACTATGCCACTGATGCACACTCTTTATACATATTAAGTAGTATTGTCACGGGATGAAATAGTCCAGTTTTGTAAACTTATAGGACTTCCGTAAGCTAATGAAACGAAATGCCTGCTAATCTAGACTGCACAATACGTTTGCCTTCTACTTCATTATCTATCTGGCTGAAATCCAATCCTGATAAGACTTTTAAAAGTTAGGTTTGAATACTTGCATCACAATTTTTTCAAGAAATTTATATGTTGTCAGATCGGGGGGAGGGATTGAACCATAAAACTTGGCATTTTATTTCTGAGCTCTCATAAACACCAATGAAAATGCATCATCTCACAATACTTAATCGATTAGGTTTGTCTGTCTAAAGGTCAATTTGAAGCATATGGAATTTCGAGTTTCCTGCAAATATGTTACGTCATTGGGAAATTCTTAATTTCCTTTCTAATGAAGTTCTCTTGTATTTGGTCCATTCATGGGAATTGCTTCAATCATTAAAATACTGGCAACGCTGAGATATTAAGAAGCGGTTTCTCTGTATTCTGTAGTTCACATATACACACGAATTCTTGTGGGTTTTAAATCACAGTCATGTTTTTTTTGTGACGAGCACGTTATCATTCAACGAATGAATGCAAATACTGTGAATCATGTTGTCAACTTCTGTAGCTTGACAGTTATACAGTTTCTCAGTGCCTATTTGTATTCAGCGCTTTTTCAGTTAAAGGGTACTGTTCACAAAAACCTACCTTAGTATCAGACTAATGCCTTCAACTAATTACACAATTACAATGAAATGAATAGTGCCCAAACGGCAGATATTATTTACAGTAGTCGACGATAAAGACATGTTGAGATTCACTGTTACAACTTCACCGCTGACTTTCCCCGAATTCTAATATCTTGCTGCATCAAAAATTCTCCACACACCCGCAATATACTTCTGTTTTTTGAACATTCTTAAAAATATCTATGTTATAATGGTGCTTTGCATAAACCTGAAATCAGTGTTGTGACATTATCGATTTACTCGAACATGTCGAGCGATAAACACCAATGTCTCGACAACAGTAGTAGAAACACTTCAAATGATTCAACCGGACCATGGTAATAATGCTGAAAATAATTACCAATAAGAAAGACTAGTGCAGTTTTGTGCTGTGTAATATTACGTTATCTTTTTAAAGATTAAGTAAAACATGTGAAAAAGTAGACGTGATATCCGGTTGGTTGTCGGTCGAAGGACGTGTGCACAGTCTCTGTCTGTCTGTTCGTTTCCGAAATAGAACTTTACACCGATGTGCGGAAGTTCAAGTCGCCACACTCCCTCCTTGTAGCACACAAAGCAAGAGAAGAAAGTAGAAGAAATGCACAATAGAGACAGTAAACAGGGGTGTGAAACAAAGGAATAGTAATAACGAAGAACAATATAGTTTAATTGGAAATCATAAGTCACAGGGAGTGGATGCATCTGAGCCAGCCAGCTATTGAGAACGATTGTGAGCCGTATCACCAGTTGTTTCCAACCATTGGTTTTTACCGTTCCGGGGACCTCAACCCGGAAGTCTACACCTTCCCACGTGGCTTAGACTAACCGTTGTACATTTCATTGACTGGTGACATGTTTTGATTTGACCGCCGCTAGCTGGCTCTTTTTCCAGCCTGACCCTATATCAACTAACATTGCCCATTGTCGAGGAAGGCGATGACTATGCATTCATGTGTAGCACATGTGTCCTAACCATCTCAGTCGATGCAATTTCACAGCCTCGTCGATTGATTTCCCCTCCTTACATAGAACTCGACGCCTAACCTCAATATTGCTCACCTTATTATACCACAGTGCACAGTAGTTGTCCCTGTTCTCTTTGATGACTGTGAGACATAGCTATAGACAGTGGAAGATATGAAAAGGCTGTCATTCTTTGATCACATGTCTCTGTGTTCTGTCTCACGTATTATATGGTATAAGATGGTGTATAATATTGAGTTTAGGCATCGACTGTTAGGTGAGGTGGGAAAGTCTGTCGATGTGGTTATGAAGATGAATCGATTGAAATGACTACAACGCGTACTGCACTCGCCAAGCCGTCGCCGTCCTCTACGGACAATATTAGCCGACATGCGATTAGACCGGAAAAGGATTAGAGGTGACCAAAACGAAACCCGGTATCATTCCATGAAATCTTTGACAATTAATTTGGGTCACATAGAGGGATGTAGACTGCCTGGTTGGGGTCCTGTCTGTCTATCTGGATTCAACATAGAACTTGGCACTGAGGTGCGCCAGTTCGAGTTGCCACATTCCAAATAGCACACAAAGGTAGACAAGAAGATGAGTGAAGAGAATCAATAGACTTTGATAGGTATAACAGCGAAACAGAATTGGTAATGGTAAAAAGGAATATGAAAGATTACAGAGACTGAATACATGTGCGCTGGCCATTAACAACGATTTTGAGACATGTCACCTATTGTCTCCAGCCATTGATTCCTAGAGTCAGTCCCGAGGGCCCCAACCCGGAAGTCTGCATCCCCCCACCTGACCGACTCAGTTTAACTGTCAAGGATTTATTTCATGGATTGATGAGGCCATGTTTTTGTTTGGCCACCACTTACCCTTTTCCAACCTGCACCTATATCAGCTAGTAATGCCCGTCAGGGGAGACGATGGTTAGGCTTGGGCAGCACGTGATCTAGCCATCTCAATCTATGTAACTTTATAGCCTCGTCGATTGGTTTTCCCTGTTTGCCCAAAACTCTACGCCTAACGTCAGCATTACTTACCTTATTATACCACCTAACGTGAGACAGGGATCGAAGACATCTATGATCGAAAGCAGTCAACCTTTTCATGTCTTCAACGCGTATTGGCCATGTTTCAGAGCCATAGAGAAGGACGGAGCGAACTGGTGAGCAGTACACACGTCCCTTGGTTGATAGCCAGCCGGATGTCACGCCTACGCCAGAGATGGTGTAAGTCAGCGAAAGCAGCTCGATCTTTTTGGATCCGTGCTGAGATTTCGTTGCCAATCAGTCCGTTGGTGCTGATACAACTTCCCAAATAGGTGAAGTGGTCAACATGTTCTATCACTTCACTCCCTATCACTAAGCTAGGAGTTGACGTAGTCCAGTCCTGTAGCAGCATCTTACATTTTCCAGGAGCAAATCGCATGCCAAACATACGAAGATTGCTGCTGAAGGTGTTCACAAGACTCTGGATTTTGTCATCATCCTCCCCTAACAGGACTATGTCATCTGCATATTCTGAGTCTATAAGACTATTTATTCCCTGGTAACAAGTTGATTCCTAAGTCATTACGTTCAGTTAAGGATACTTCCATTAGCATATCTATGATGAAGTTAAACAGGAATGGGGAAAGTGGGCATCCCTGTCGGACACCACTGGTTGTTACCAATTCAGATGACAATTCCCCATAAGCCCTTACACGACTACGTGAGTTTGAATAGAGTGCCTTGATTAGTGCAATGTACTTTCTTGGCACTCCCTTCACAGTCAGACATTGCCATAGTACCTTTCGATCCAAGGAGTCGAAGGCCGCCTTCAAGTCAAGAAATATGGCAATTGTTGGACGCCGAAAAGTGTGTCTATGTTCTAGAATCTGTTGGGGTCTACAGGATGGTGATAACCAAAGACTGGCAACTATTGGAAATGTGGCCCAAATCCTTCCCACTGGCACAGATGCAATCACTGTTTATAATCTCCCATATCCGTTAAACCTAATATTTTCGTCTGGCACTGTTCTGTCTCCGTCATATTTCTGGTTATTATAGTACCTCTGAATCCAATTTTTTCTATCCTTTGTCTGTTTAATGAATTTGGTCAGGTGTGTCAGTCGGCCAAGATTACGTAATTCAGCGTTTAGTTATGGCAATTCACACTCGCTGTATTAACTTATTAACTCACCTTTCCACTATTAAATAGTTCATATAAAGGTTGCCTGCTTAAAACTTGAGCTACCAAAGGATTCCATCTCTCTGCTCCATATATTTCCTTTTGTTCGGTTTCTTTTAATAAAATAAGATATGACCTTTGATGGTATTATCTACGCTTGTGTGTATTAAGATTGTTTACAAGCTTCTCATTTTACAACTTCGTGCTAAACTTTAGGAAAGGCCTTATTGTGGGTGGTAACATGTTCCAATACATGAGATAACTGTTGTTCACTTATTTCCTTGGGTCTCAAAATGTACTTCTGAACATCTTACAATTCACTTTCAACCAGGTATCGTGGATTTCTTGAAGGAGACAAAGCAGATATATCATAATGGAATGATTTGTGCTTCAGCTCAAAGAGAATTGTGTCAAAGGATATTACTGTCAAATGATGTTTTAGTTGAAGATACTGTACGAAGGGAAAATATCGTGCAATAAACTTCGCCGAAAATTGTATACATTATATAAATACTGTCCAGAATAAATATATTGTTGGTATTATTATTCATTGAGACCACATAGTCTGTTAGTGCGACCAGCTATTACAAAATACATGTGGTGTAGAGTGTAGTGTATGGGACGTGGCTGATATTGTTTAAAATTTGTTGTTTTTTTTTTATTTCATTTTCACCATATTTTTCCTGTTTCCTTACTTTCTTTTAAGCTGTTTTCCTTTATTCGGTTTACAGGCTCAATCATCTGTTTCTCACGAAACCAATGTGAAGTATCCTAACGTTAACACTAATACAAAATTAGGTGCAACAAAAAATCGTGCATCGGGTGGTAATTCACGTAATCCTACTGAACTGATGTTGCCTTCTGCTATTGATGAGCTTATACCGGTAGATTTCAAATTTTATGGTATTCTGGAGTTCGGACCAAAGCGAGGTAAACGAAACAAGCTTCATTGGGAGTCTTGTTTTGCACAGGTAAGCGTAATTCTATTTTTATGTGAATGTGTTTCAGTTACTGCCAAACTGTAAAAAAACACAGTGTTTATTTCACTCATTCACAACGATTGTGATACCGTCTCAGTCGTTTATACCGGTCAATTTTCCCCTATACAGACAATTAGAATTGCATATTCAGAGTGCAGAAAATACAAGTCATGTAATCAAAGCATGAAAGAAGGGAAATGTGTTAAAATAAATAGAGGGTACTAGGGATCAGGAATCCAAGTGTTAGGCGTGTAAATTAAAAATTGTAACCATTTCTGTGAAACTTTTTTTTTTTACCATTTCTTCTTTTTGAGTAACTTAGTCATTCCCAGGCATTTGTTCTGTCACTTTTGATATTTTCGTTAGGATATTTAACAGCATTATGGAGTAAAATTACTTCAGTTAGTGTGATATTAAGAAGCGTAAGATTTTCGGCCTAATTTACAATGAAGCTGATGAATATTAACAGAGTTTTAATGTGAATTGAGGACTGACTACTGATAATGTACCCAAAATAACAACCTAAGTGACTAGAATTTCGACGTGTGCGACTTGAAATTTTTACTGCATATTTGGCATGCTTTTAAATATCAAAGCAAATGTAGTATTTACTGAAATTAACTTGTACACCTTATTTTAAAGATATATTTGTTATTCTAATAGGACGAAATCAATTAAATTAACATAACCCGTTGCACAAGAGGTGGTTCTCGTGGCCCAACTGGTCTAGTGGATAACGCTTTGGTGGTTGAAGCTATGGGGACTAGCTTCGATCCTCGGTGGGAAAATCATCACTCACTGGGAAATGCAGGTACATCCAGATGACGAGCCCCAAACAGGACGAAATGCGCATTTTGGATTCCATTGCTAGTCACCATCCACCAATTATATTTGTCATTCTGCTATTTATTTTTAAATTCGTTCTCTGTCAAATGACTATTTTATCTTCATTTCTACTTTTTTATGTTTAGCTTACACGAACTCATTTAATGCTATGGATATACCGAGTGACTTATGCAAGCGTATACATGAATTATACGATAAATATTTAGATTTATCAAATTTCATTGCATCTACAATTAATTCCAATATGAATAGCTTAAATCCCCGATTCGAAATGCCAATAAATGCATTATATCATGCACGATCTGTGAATTCATGTGATGTATGTCACGAGCGTCCAGAAGATTTACCTCGTGTTTTTCAAATTATCTATGATCGCCAATGTTTAAACAACAATAATAATGGCATTAATGTTAATGGTAACAACACTGTCCCCAGCGGTATGAAACAATCTTCAAGTGGTGTTAGTGGAGTAGGTGGTGGTGGACTGTCTAATTCAAATTCAGGTTAGTTTATTTTTAAATCAATCTTTTTCTTTCCACTTAAAAAAATAAATTAAGGTATTATTGTTTTTGTTCTTAGTGGAATTGAAAGTTATGCCTTGTGTGAAATGGTTGTTTCTTGTATATATACATATATATCACGAGTTGGAGTTGTCAGCCTTCCCTGTTTCTATCCCTGCTTACAACTGTCAGCTGGTAATCGAACCCGGGTCAACTGCAAGCATTCCACCATTGTATGTTACTATTTCACATGTTTTATTATTGACAATTTCATTTTTATGTAAACAAACAGAAAAAGACAAATGCATATCAGTGAAGTGATTTGTAAACTTTTCTCACTCACCAGTTAAACTAGTTTTTTAAAGTTACAGGAATCACTCCCGCTGTCAATATAAACTAAACGTGTAGACTGTTAATTTCCATTAGGCGAACAATGAAAATCGATGACAAATTACTTTCATTTACAATCCAGCATGCACTTTTTTATTACCTTGTCTTTTCTGTAGCTTTGAAATATATATATATATATATATATATATATATATATATATATATATGCCTAATAATTACTCTGGGAGTGCTAGGCTGAAGAGTCCCAACCTAGAAAGAAACAGTTATCCGGTAGTCCCAGGTCTTTCATTGGTTCTCTAACTGTTGTCAGTTCGTAATCAATCCTGTAACCAATCGAATCCCTGTAAATTGACTCTTGATTAATAATTGACCGTCCTAATAATTATTATTTTTAAGAGATTTGTAGATTGTGTTCGATTGATTAGTTTTAGTTACCTGACGTTTACATTGGCTAAGTCAAATTCTGTGAACAATCTAAGAAGAATATAACCTAGTGAATAATAGTAGGTTTAATTAGAATGAACAGATTTTTCATTGTAGAACTCTGCACAAAAGTGCAACGGTTAAAGTCTGTATGTGATATGTGCTACTGACAGGGATTTTGTGAATAGTATGTTGTGCGACGGATTGAATGACAAAGAGGAGAAATAAAAGATCCTTGTGGAAAAAGACACAACAGAAAATATAAAAGGAAGACCGAAAGAAACAGATTACAGCAACATACGGAAATGGAGATTACCTGTGTAAGGTCGCCTTAATTTTCCATAATTGAATGTTGTTTTGTCAAATAACAATTCTGCTACAAAATATTAACGTGTTCTACTGTTACAGCCGTAGCTCTTAAAAGGATCCGTATAAAACGTCAATTTATGAAACTACAGTAAGTGTATATGAAGGAAAATTATGTAAAATATAATGAGGACTTAGTGAATGGTGGAGACTGTAGGGAACGAATGCATTTCATTCATGGAGAATGTGTTGGACCCGTTTTACCAATAATTTCCAACTGTTGATTCTTAGAGATCCGAGGATCCACACTTTCCTACGTGACTCAAACTAACAGTCCAAGTCTTCGTGGATTTATACCACCTCTATCTCTATGCCAACGCAATTCTATGTCAGTTAACACGATGGAAGTTAATAGGTTGATATGCGCAAAATATCTCCTGGCGATCTTGTTTGATACAGCTTCACATCCTGATCGGTTGGTTTCCCTCCTCACCTAATATTTCACGCCTACTTCTCTTATTAATGATGAATTTGCACCACGCTTAACAATAGGTGGAATGCAGGCAGACACCTGCAGTGAAAGATGACCAGCGTTTTCATGGGTTCCATTTGCAACAGCCATGTATCACAGTCGTAAAGTAAACCCGGAAAAACTGCTGCTCGCAACTTAGGTCTTTTGATGTATAGGCAGAAAGAAACCACGCCTGTATCTAAGTGGGTGCAGGCTGGCTAATAAGAAAAATGCCTTTTGTACTTGTGCTGATTTTCGACCTGCAATCAATCAATTAGGGCTGTAGTAACTTCTGAAATAAGTGAATTGGTCAACACATTCAGTGTAGACTAGGAGTCTCTGCTTGTTGTATTGTATTCTCCATGCACACTTGGAGAAAAAATGCATACTGAAAATGCAGAATTCCATAGATGAATTAAATGAAAGTTTTCATATTGTTCTCACACCTTTTATTATATATTTGCAACTGTTTTGTATTTATGCATTGTAAATGTATTTGTCTTACTTTACCTATGCATTTTTGTGGCTTCATCTTATTTTTCCTGGTGTTTTTATTATTATTATTATTATTGTGAATTCACTCATCTGCATTCGTCTACCGCCGATTTCGACTGTTTTAGTTTAGTAATAAATTTATGCGGCATCACAGTATTCCAGTCTATAAATATTTGTAAATATTTAATTTCTTAACAGTTTATAAAAATAATTGATAGTAATTTTTATTGAGTTTATCTTGTCTAAGAAGTGAACTAGTGATATTCCCGCTGCTACAAACACACTGCACATTGTCATATTCTATGTATTTTGTATGTGTTTGTTTATGATTATGTAGTAGATGTCTCTTCTTTTTTACGGAACTACTTTTATCAAGGATTTCTAATTTTGTCCCTCTCTCCTTGCTCTTGACTGACTGGCTTCTTTAAGAAAGATTTGGAGAATAGGCACTATGCGTAGAATTATCTGATAAAGTGTACTATTTATCTCTTTGATTTGATAAGTTTCAACTCGTTGGGGAACAAGATTTCATGTTAAAAAAAATCAGTAATTGCAATACACATGCTGTGCTAATCTTAAATTGTTATAGCAATATAAATAATATATTCACTCCATCTTCGCACACATTTCATCCTATCTCTTTATTCTCCACTGTTGTCAATTATATCTGTATACGGATTTTGAAGATTCTAAAAATTTCCTCTTTACTGTTCTCTTAAAGTTTCATATTCTTTCATCCCTGTTTTTTTTTTGTGGTATCGTTTTAAGTTTTGAATACCGCTTGGATAAAAGTTCAAAAATTTTTCTTCGTTTACATGTGTTTCACTATCAGGTAGTGTCAGTTTCTTCGTATTCAGCAGCATAGTTATTATTATTATTCCCTTGGGTTCCTAGTGGAACATAGGGCTTCAACTGCACATCTCCACTTGCTTCTGTCTTCTGCTGTACTTTTCATCTGCACCCATGTTAGTCCATACTGTTTCAACTCCTCTTCACACGATCTCCTCCATGTCACCCTTGCACCGAAGACCCACTCGCCGCTTCGCTTTCGGCCTGGTTCCACTCGAGCAGTGGCCTAACGCGCGATGTCACCCAGCGGCCTCCTTAGCGAGCGAGTGTTCAATCCATCTCCACTTTCTCCTGCATATTTGTTGGTTGGCGATTGGTTGGTTCTTGTTTTGTTTGTTCCCATAGTTTGTTTTGTTGGTGATTCTTTCCTGGCCGGCCATCTGATCTTCAGTATAGAGCGAAGGCAGTTGTTGGTGAAGGTAACGTCTGCAACAGGCTGTTGGAAATATTCTTTGTGACCCGTCCGCCAAGTTTCTGATCCGTATAGAAGAACTGACTTGACGTTGTTTGTAATGAAAATCCGACGGAATTTAGTTGTTGATGCTGAGTGACGAAGATTTCCAGATTGATTTCAGGTTGATGAATGTGTTTCTCGCCTTCCCGATTCTCGCTCGATTTGACATCCTCGTCCGTTCCGACTGCCTGTAGTTGAGACAATGCTCCCTCGGTAGATAAGTGAATGAAGTAACCTCTTTCAAATCCCTCCCGATCATGGTGATTGACGTTGGATGTTGTTGCTGTTGTTGTTGTTAGTTGGTTGGTTATTTTCATAACCTCCGTCTTGTCTATGTTCACATGGAGTCCTGTCTTTGTTGGCTGCTTCGTCGACCAGTTTTTCTCTTGTAAGTCTTCGATTTTGTGTGACATCAAACATAAATCATCCACGCGCGAAATCCAGGTCTTCTAGGTTCTTCACGTTGGTCTAGGATATCCCTATTTTCTCGTTTCCCACTGTCTGACGCATAATCCAGTAAGTCCACCACAATTAGGAATATCATTGGTGATAATAAGCAAGCGCCCTTGTCTGACTCCTGTGTTTACTCCAAACGCCTCGTTGAGTTTTCCGCAGTGGATCACTTGACATGTGCCGTTGCCGTATAGCTGTTGAATAAGGTTGATGAATATTTGGGGTACGCCGTAGTACTCGAGTAGTTTCCAAACTACTTCGCGGTCAACGCTGTCTGTCGAAGGCTTTCCCTAAGTCTATAAAGTTGAGGTAGAGGTTTGATTGCCATTCCATGCCTTGTTCTGTGATGATGATGTGTAGAGTTGCAGTTTGTTCAGTACGTGATTTGCCTTTCCTGAATCCAGCTTGTTCTAGTCGGAGTTCTGTATCCAGTGCGTCCTTTATTCTCTCACTGGATACAGAAATCTTAAATTTGTTTCCTAGAAATTCTCAGTATTCATAGTTATTTTCCACCCTCTTTTAGCTGAACTTTGTGTATTTTAATGTGGTTCCTATGATTCTCTTTCCTAGACAACTATATATAATATATATTAATGTATATATGCATAAGAAAAATAGTTTACAGAGAATTTATGTCTAAAGTTGATTAGGATAACTATTCATTTTCATATTAGTAATCCCATTTCGTTCTTTTTGCATTTCTAGGTGATCCTGGAGGTATACCACGTAAGTCTAGTGTTGGATCAAGTGGATTATTGTCAACTTCTAGTCAACATCCGTCAAATTCACGTCGTATTGTTAGAACTGATTCCGCTCCTAGTTCTCATGCTCATTCTATATCTAACTTGTCTAATAACAAACGATCAAATCATACAGAAAACTCTGCATCTGGACATCAAGTTAATTCTCAGTCCAATGATTCAGCGCATAGTGTAGAATCTACTACAATAAACACTAGAGGGCATGTTTTACAACGTATTCTTTTTAGATCATATGCAACCTGTGATCTGTGTCAAAATTCATGCTCTAGTGTTTTTCATCCTCCTTTAGCTTATCAATGTACAGACTGTCAGGTGAGTGATGCATATGAAATGCTTATATGCAATTAAATATAATTTTATGATTTCATTTCTTACAACTTTTATCCACTTCTTTGTGTCAGGGAAAAATATTGATAAAATAACAAATATAAATCGTATATCTCTAAGTGATAGTACACTTATGATAAAGACCGAGGTATTAGTGAGTCTTTCGGCACGGCAGTTGATTTTTAGTCGTATCAACTTATCACTGACTATAAGTTCTCATGGTCATATAAACATCAATCAAACAACTTGTATGTTCTCTATGGCGCTGAAGTTTAAATTTACTGATTGGCACCATGATACGACCTGGCTATCCTTAACTTTCTTCCAGTTTAATCTCTCTCTGTCTCCCTGGGGTAATTCAGTAATGAAGACTTCTAGACGTCAGTGTTATTGATGGATACGAATTCATTTTGAAAGGGCCACCAACTTAAAATGTGTGAATCAAATAGTCTAATAGGCCGAAGCCGGATAGATTCAATCAACAATCAAATATGTTGTATTTAAGTGTCAGGACTACAGTCAAAAATGTGCATTTCGCTTTTTATGGACACTATTAGATACTCTTTTGCCCCGACAAACTCATTCTCAGTGCTCGCAAATGACAAACTTCCTAATTTTTATCAGGATTTACAAGATGAATTAAATGAATCAGTCACCGTCATTTTAAAAGTATAACAGCTTTAAAAGAATATCATTGCGAATCAGCTAACAGACAGGAGTTTATATTTTCGTTTGTAAGGTACACTTTAGTTCTTTCGAATTTGTCTTCTCTACCTTTGTGTGCTCTATGAACTGTGACAACTTGAACATGTATACTTCTGTGCGACGTTCTACATCGAAAGGGTTTATAATACCACTACAACCACATGAATGAAATACCTGTATCAGATTTAGAAAGTGTGTGAAAAGTCAATCAACTAAGCTGAATAGACCGCATTTTAAAGTAAACAAACTAGTATAGTTGAAATTTTTCTACAGGAAAAACAGTTACAATTTTGTGTGTTGGTAGCATCTATGAAATACTTCAGTTCTTAATTTCACCCAGCCTGTTTGTTTCTTATGCAGTGTCTTGCGTAACATTGCTGACTGAATGTCCTACTCTTGGCATATAATATATAACCTTTATCCTTCATTGGGGCGCTATCTGTTCAGTTCAAACGCTATGACAACCAATTAGCCGTTGTAGTAAACAAATCAGACATTGGCTAGCGGTTGCGCTATATCGTGAATTGACAGAAGTTAAATTTCGTAGGCCTTTGTATCGGGTCCCAGTGGCTTAATGGGAGCTTGCGTTGTAACCAGAAGATCCTGGCTTCGTACCCCGGTGGGTTCATACTGACGAAGAGTCCCAAACTGGGCTAACGAAACAGCTGTCCAGTGCTCCCAGGTTTTCCAGTGGTTCTCTAACCAATGCCAGCTCATGATGAAATCCTGTAACCAATCAACCAAATCCCTACAAACCAATACTTGAAAATCAGTTTTACTTTAACCAGTGAACAATGCAGTTTTCTGTAAGCTTCTTCAAGTTTGTCTTCACCCTTGATTTATTCTTAATGTAGGCTATTCTACTCAGAAATAAATACAACTTGTTAGTTGTTTTTTCGAAAGGATTTAGAGTAAAGGCATGCAGCTTATCTAGTTCACAATTCGGTATTCTCGCTTCCCAGACTATATTCCCCAACATCCCGCTCATATTTACTTAAAGCTGATACATATGTTTATGACGAAATGTATACCTTATACATTTATTACTTACCTACCGCCTATAATTCCCCCGATGTCTTTTCAATTCACTTAACTATCTTGGTTCATCATTCAAAGAATAAAGGTGCTTTGATTCCGTTATTATACTAAGAAAAGATTTTTAAATATTGTCTATACTCTTTTACCCTGTTTATTTATGTGTGAATGTATTTAAGTATGTTTATGTTATGTTTCTTGGCATTCATCTGCTTTTTTTTAAATTTTATTTTTCTTTATCATTTCGTTGATTCTATCTGCATAGATTAAACTGCATGCATGGCATTTGGAGAATAATGATTATACTTTACCTCAGTGTGCTAAAGCTGTTGGTGTTTGTTTATTACGTGCACGTACAGTTCGTGATAAAGAACAATGGATGGAGTATTTATTATTGGCCATTAAAATAACAAAGTTATTATCATCTAATATAGCAATTCTTAAATCTAATAATGCAGAAGTGCCAATATCATCAATCCAACAACAATCGAATCCTGCAATAACGACAACACGCAGTATTTCTCTTCTTGGATGTGGTCCATCTCAATGTAAGCATTAAAGTATGAAAATGTTGGTATGGTGTTGTGAATCAATACTCTCTTCTGCATCCATCTCTTTGAATTTTCGCTTACCGTTTGTATTCATTCCCCTCCCCTTCTCTCAGTATAATGCTTCCAGAATATTCTGCGGCAAAACTTCACACCGAGAAATGTACATAATACAAAATTGACCTGTGTAAATCTGTATCAATGCAAGTTTTCATATTTCCTTTAAAAATATTAAAATTAGTAGTAAAAACAGACATTGTTAAGCCCATTAAATAAATTATTAAAAAGTAAGCAATTAGATCAAATGTGGTTGTAAATTTAAGTCATTCGAAAATATGGCTTTGAATTCATTCAAAGCCATATACTGCTTCATCAGTTGTCTACTTCGGTAGTATGGTAGTTCACGACTTAAAAACCGCATTTCTCGGCATAGATGAAGTAAAGATAAACTTTATCAATTCGAGTTACATCTTTGTTGAATGACAGCTCACTTTCATTCTAGTTGATCTTAACATCTTGTCAACAGAAATGCAACTTACAAGTTTCAGCCAGCTGCATAACCAGAAAAAGTTACAATCTCATTGTCCCACTCACATATGCCTCTGCTTTGGTTGTGTAGTAATTTCACAACACAATAGTGAGGCCAAGAGGATGAAAGGGACCTGATTCTATGAAACTCAGTACTCCATTTATGATGGTCTAGTATCACAGTGCTCCTGCAGAGCGAATCACACAGACACAGCACATATTTGTAGTGATGCATATTTAGAAAGTTCGTTTGAGTATTGATGTTTCTTCAAAGAACCTCGCCTACTTTACTACATACACCTCAGTGTCCAAAAAGAGTGCAGCTTGCGCGCAGAACTGACAACACTACCCCAAAAAATGAATTTAATCACCAAAGAAACTTCGATACACAGAAACAACATCAAAGATAAATTTATTCTTAGCTGAAATCAGAGAGACCGAACAACGCAGGTTGGTGGAAACTGTCGAAAAACCAGTCAGTCTACCTTTGATGAAAGCAAAAATAAGCATGGAAACATTCTGTGTTCGAAGGTGGGAAGTATTCTCAGATTGCTAAATAGATGAGTAAATATGAAATACAAGCACTGGGAATCTGTGAGAGCAAGTGGCATTAAAGTGGACTCTTCAAAACATTAGATGGTTGGAGGCAATCGGTAGCCATCTAGTATCATCAAATCAATGTGTACCGTGATGGCGAGCTACTTAGAATGATGGCCACATTGCAAATCTGACTGATAGAATTCAGTCTACACCAAAGAAAGGACTAGGCACATCGCACTAGTTATTAGTGTCCAATCAAAGTACTCTTCAAAAATGTTAACTAGAGAGTCAGAAATCCACTCCGGTCACCCACCTGACAATCACAAGATGGTGGATATCACGAAGTCACCAAGAGCATCCAAAGGTTTTATGCAATGAGGACCAATCTGTTCCATGTTAATGATAGCAGGAATCAACTGCAACTGTAGGAAAGTTACAATTATCTAATACAACGCTCCAACAAGCAAAGCGAACCAAGAAGGAGATAAATTCCACAGAGAACTGCAAACTTTAATGGAGAATACCTCGGCCAGATGTGAAAATCGAAATCGTAATGGGCAATATGAATGCGAAACTGGGAACAAGTAATACGTGAAGTAAGCTCACGGTGGACTGACAGCCTCTAGGTGAAGTGAATACGAACCGACAACTCTACATACCTCCATCATACTTTCGGGGTGGGGCTGAACGTTTCAATCTCTAATTTTTTCCAGCTATCCCTGAATATATCTGACACAATCGGGGATATTAGTGACCCTATGGGAACTCCCTCAGTTTGTTTGTGTATATTCCCCTGGAATTTAAATACTGTAGAACTCAGGCATACCTGCACTCCCAGGATTGTCCTCTAGTGATACTTTCGTTCTAAGTTCTTAGTCAGAAATGAGTTCGTTTCTAACTGCCTCTATAGTCATATTTATTGCTATACGTGAATATAAACTGACAATGTCAAAACTAACCATTTTTTCTTCATTATCTAATTTTAAATTATCTAATCTATGTTTTAGTTCATACGAATTTGTTAGCCTAGATTTTGAGTGGCTTTTAAGGGGATTTAATACCATGGCTAAATATTTAGATAATTCATAAGTAAGTGAATTTCTAAAATGAACTATAGGTCTACTGGGGTATCCCGACTTATGAACTTTAACTACACCATACATCCTACTGGGGTAATTAGTTTTGGGCATTAAATTAAACCACTTAGACTCACCTAGAAACGGCTTCATTCGGCGTATAAGGTCCGCTATGGATTTCTTAACTTTATTCATAAGTGTCTATTGATTTCTCAATTTCCTCATGTGGTCTTGTTTGTATGTGAGTATTTACCTTGTCCAAATAGTGTGATTTGTCTAATATTGCTGTTGCATTTCCTTTGTCTGACTTTGTGATTACTATATCCTTGTTATTTTTTTAAAGTGTTTTAGGGCTTCCATCTTCGGTTTAGTGAGGTTAGGCTTTTCTCGTTTTTAATGATGCCTGGATGGGGATTATCCATGAATTCCCCGTCTTTGTTGTTTTAATTTTAGTGTTCATTGTGTCCGTACTTCGTCAACCGTTATTTTGTCTATTCCGCTTAGCGCTATTTCTGTTAAAGGGATGGTATCCTCAGGTATTGGTTTCGACGGACAACTCTATTGACTCCTACCTGAAAATCAGCTAGCCTTCATATCAAACTCAAAAACGTCGAGATGCAGCCTGCTAGACACAAAATCTTGGGGAGAAGCACATGTGACCTCAGCCACCATTTCGTACAAAGAACTCTTGAACTCAGGTTGAAGCCTTCAAAAAAGCTGCGGATACACAACTCAGGAACTAAACTGCGCAATCACAAAGAAGACATTCGTTTCAACCGTCAGAGCAAGTATGGAAACATTTAGTGGCATCACTGTGGGAAGTTGTGTGAAAGGGCAGTGGAACCTTTTGAGAGTGATGTTAAAGGAAACCTGTATAGTTGTTTTTGGAAGAAATAGAGGAAAGACAAGGAATGGTGCTGTACAGACATCTGGAAGTTAACAGGGGCGAGGAAGAGAGAAAGAAATTGTGTAAGGGAAGATGAAGCAGTTGAAAGTTGAAGACGAAAAGAGAAGCTGAGTTCAATCTATAGGTCACTGAATGTATAAGTAAATGAAGAAGAGTGCTAGGAAAGACAAAAGACATTTTTACTACACACTGGAAACTAAAGCACAACAGGCTGCAGGTAAGGAGGACGTCGAAGCACTATATCAGATAAACAGTTCGCTATCCGAGAAGAGATGGACACAGATGAAATGAATGAGAGCTAATGAAGGGGACCTAATTATGAGTGCCACGTGCCAGGTGATCCACAAGGGAAAACTCAGTGTAGCGTTTGAATTGGAGACATGAGTGAGACAAGGCTGCTTACTGTGACCTATGATATTCCTGATTGTGGTGGATTGGACCACATATCAGATTGTGGGAAGCGAAGAGAGAGGAATTCGTTGGGTGAAAATGAAGAGGAAGACTCTGAAAGATTTGGACTTCTCGAACTATTTATGTCCAATGTCACACCAATTCAAAGATGTACAGGGAGCGACCAACCAACCAACAGATTTGAGAGAAGAAGCAGCGAAGACAGTACTTCATGTGAACATGAAGGTGATGAAGATAGGTGACCAACAACAACAACAACACCAACAGCAGGCAGCAATCACTATCAGCGGGAGAAATTTGAAGGAAGTCGCCTGTTTGACTTATCTAGACAACGTCATTTCCACAACAGGTGGCACAGATGAAGGTGTCAAAGGCAGGATTGGAAAGGCAAGATAGAGCTTTTCTCCCGTGAAATCAATGTGAAAATCTACTGCATTATGCATAAAGAAGAAGATTGAGATTTTCAACACTAATGTGTCAAGTCAGTTCTTCTACATAGTTCAGAGACGTTGAGCATATGGACGTCCATGGACGTCTAGTGGATTCTGATAATGAGATGATGAAATGGGCTAAACTGACGGAACTCTGCAAATAAAGCAACTAAGAAGCTACTGCTAGACAAATATGTGGAAGAAAGTGGTGATAAGTCGGATATATACTGAGGAGACTGTTGCGTGACACCATGCTCTAGTCATATCCTCAAGTGGATGATGAATAGGAAAGGATGAGTTTGGTGATCGAGAATTATGTGGAACACATCGTGGGCGGGAAAAAAGATGTGTGAGGCCATAGACAGTCTTTGAGTTTGGTGAAAAGAACTACATAGAAGCGGATGAAATTAAGATGTTCTGATGAACCTAAGTGTATATTAATATTTGTTATAATTTGTTCTAAGATTTCTTCAGTAACCACGAATGCACCAATCTGGTATGACAACACTAGAGTATTAACCAATGTAATCATTAACTCTGTATCGTTTCATCAGATGTAGTTACATTTTGTACCTGGCATAAATTAAGCCCACGGCATTCATGCTTCGGTCAGTTACACGCCTTTTCAATTCCTTCATTTCTCTGAACTCTTTTGTCTTCGGTCACAAGGCCGTTTCTGCAATTAAGAAAGAATGATGGATCATATTTCTGAAGATGTATGAAACATCGTCGAATAAAGAGTTAATACGGTTGAAGGAGACAGCTTAATGTTTCACATTCAAAAGTTTATTGAAGTTGAAATGTACAGCACATCATTTCCATCGAATATTTTAGTTTTTGGTTCAGGTATTAGCTAGTTATGGAATGTATTCATTCAAAGATTTCTGTTCGAAACCTGTGTTATGTTGGTAGACTTATTAGCATGACAACAAATAAGAGAAAACAGTCGCAGAAAGGAGTGGGCTGATCTTTGACAGTATTCTTCATAGTGTAATTAATTATTGCTTTTATAAGTACGTATTTTCCTTCTAATTTTTCTAAACACCTAGCTATTTCACCTAGTGTTGCATCAAATGCAGTAACAAATATGGCTACACCTATACGATTCATCAATTTAACTCCATCATCTGATCAACAAATTTCACACACTCGTTCAAGATCTTCAATATGTGTTCAAGATTCGTTAAAACGTCGATCACGTATAGAAAATTCATCTACCAATAGTAGTAATGAATTTTCATCATTATCTCATCAGTCGTATATTCCTACGCTATTACCTTATTCTTTACGTCCAAGTTTTGCTGGAACCACTACTTCTATTACTAGGAATAGTAATAATATTCACAATTCTAATGGTAATGCTTTTAGTAACAACAAGGCAGCAACATCAACAGAGGTAATGACAACTGCATTATCCCCTACTATAGGAACAATTAATAATCATGAACATCAGATGAGTCGAAGTTTTACACTTGGCTCAACAAAATATAACAGTGAAGATTATACAGATTTTTCTGTTGGCTATACAAATAATTATCAATCTGGTATCGCAACAATTCGACCTATTACAAGAGCAGAAAGTTCAAATTGTCAGAGTAATAGCTATACTAGTAATAATATTAATCTGAGTATGAATAAATTGCCGAATAATCTTTCTTCACCTATCCTTCAACCGTTTCATACAAGTTCAGTTGGATCAACAGATTCAACAACTGGTGACATTTCACCTTAATATTAAAGAAATCTTGATATTTTACTCTGGTAGGTAAATTAATTTCTCTAAGATATTTCTTCATTTCCCCACCCCCTTGTTCCTCCTTTACTGCACTCCTTACGTATTCATATTATATATATATATATATATATATATATATTCAGGAGCTAGTGTCAATGTGGATGAATTGAAAAACAGTAAAAGATTACTAAACCTATGAATTGGTATTCAAAAGCTTAAAGTTTGTCAAGTGGTGTCAAAAAATTGAAATCTCGACGATGATAACAAAAATGAAGGCAAAGATAACGTAAAGTGGAATGTAATTAAAAGTCAATCTGAACGAAGAATATTCTTTTCAATAATTTCTCTTCAGGTTCTTACAATTATAAAATATAATATTTGTGGTCGTTACAATAAAGACCAGTTATGCGCCGGATACATTTTTAACGTAGAATAACAGATTAGTTATGGGGTGTCAACATAAATAGTCATATTTGTGTGACAAACGTGCTTTGGGCTGAAATCGATTACCAAAATATTGTAAAACGAGAGACAATGGTGGTCATTAATCATAATAGAATTGTGGAGTGTGGAATGTAATTAACCAGAAATGATAACATTACTATGACTAAGGTAAAGAAAAGATTTGACAAAACGTTTTTGAACTGATTTTTTACCAGTGTAGTCTCGTCTATTTGGAGTAAGCGGAAATACTGACAAGATGTAGAGTCTTCTACACACCTTGTTTGGTATGTGATTCGCCCCTGTGGTGCTACAGAACTGGTGTGTGCAGACTCCTATTATTATTATTTCCTTTAGTTCCTAGAGGAACATAGGGCTTTAGCCGTCTCCATTGCATTCGGTTCTCTCCCAACGTTTTCACCTGGCTCCAGGTCTGCTCATATGCCTTCATCTCCTCTTCACATCACCTCCTCCAAGTCACCCTCGTAATGACGACCAACTCGCCGCTTCCCGTTCGGGTTCCACTCTAAGGTCTGTCTTGTGATGTCACTTAGTGGTTTCCTCAGAGCATAACCAATCCATCTCCATTTCTTCCTACCAATTTGTTACACAATCGGTTCTTGGTTGGTTCACTCCCAGAGATCCCTGTTGCTGATCTTTTCTGGTCATCTAATCTTAAGTATTGAGAGAAGACAGCTGTTGATGAAGGTCTGTAGTTTGTTCGAAGTGCTCTTCGTGACGCGGCGCCAAGTCTCTGATCCGTATGGTAAGTAGCACTTACTTCACATTGGAGTTTTAATTCCGGATCTTATTTTTGATGCTGAGTGCTGTTGACCTCCACACAGACCTGAGAGAAATAAAAGCCTACCTTGCTTCCCCGACCCTCGCCTTGATATTCTCGTCAGCTGCACCTGTAGTTGAAACGATATCTCTAAGGTAGGTAGGTAAAGGAGGTTGCTTCTTTCAAATTTCTCCACTTATGCCGATTGTTGTCTGTTGTTGTTGCTGTTGCTGTTGGCCAGGAATCTTTATCACATCTGTTTTCTCTATGTTTACCTGGAGTCCTATCTTTGACGCCTCTTGTTCCAACTTGTTGCTATTCACTTGCATATCTTCCAGTTTGTGGGAGATCAGACATATATCATCGGCGAAGTCCAGATCCGCCAAGTTTTTGTGTGGGTTCATTTTATGCCTGTTTCCTCTCTGCCGGCCACTGTCTGTCGCATTATCCAATATACCGCAATCAGGAAAATCATTGGAGATAGTAGGTAGCCAGCTTGTTTTACTCCCGTCTTCACTTCAAAGGATTCCCTGAGTTTCCCGTTGTGGATTACCTGGCATGCGGCACCATCATACAACTGTTGGATGAGATGTATAATCGTCGGCGGTACCCCGTCGTAGCGAAGTAGTTGCCAAATTAGCTCTCGATCGGCGCTGTTGAAGGCTTTGTCAAAGTCGATGAAGTTGAGATAGAGAGGTGACTGCCATTCCAAGCTTTGTTCAATGATGATCCGTAGTGTGGCGATTTGATCAATACATGACTTGTTTCTCCTGAATGCAGCCTGTTCCGGTCGAGATTTTTCATCCAGGTTGGCGTGTTTGATTCTCTCCAGGATGATGCTGCTTAGTATTTTGCTTGGGATTGACAGGAGCACAATTCCGCGCCAGTTTTTGCATTGACTTAAGTCTCCTTTTTTTGGCAGTTTGAATAAGTATCCGTTCTTCCAATCCTCAGGTACTTTGCCCTCCTTCCACACCTTCTCCAGCAATGGCGTCATCAAGTCCGCTGTTGTCTCTGGGTCTATTTTCAATTCTTCTGCTGAGATTCCATCTGGTCCGTGCAGACTCCCAATATATGGATAATTCATGAAATGGTTGGACTTGTTCGCCGCTATATTTATTTAGAAGGTTGTATCATCGTTAGTGGACTTATTTCTGACCACATCTCAACTGGAATGCAAAAGACTTATCTTAGATTTACTGACATGTTCCATATTTAGCGTACACGGGATTTCAGGCTTTGAATGACATGATGTGCGTATAGTGCAGGAACACTCCACTCCTTCCTTCTTGACGAGTGGTGAGACATGGAGGTTGAGAGTTGAAGACATGAAGAGGCTAGCGATATTTGACTGGTGTCTCCTATCCTCGATGGTGATAGAGCTATCATTAGTAATATTGAGGTTAGACATAGAGTGAGGGAAAATCAATCAATAAGTTTCTAAATAATGTGACGACGTCACTAGTTCACATGTTGCGCATGCCAAGCCATCGCCTTCCTCGTCCAGCAGTATTGGATGATATACGACTGGGATAGAATGTAGTCAGGAGTTGTTAGAGCAAAACATGGCATAAGTCCATGTATTCAGTTACGTAAGGAGGTGTAGACTACTCGGTTAGGGTCTTTGAGGTATTAAGAATCAATGGCTGAATATCCTTCTCAATGGTGCAGATATTTTCATTCTTTGTGAACCCACTGTTCCATGAAATTTCCATTATTTTCTATTTACTTATTCCTTGTCTCGTAGATTTCTATTCATTTTCATATCTTTTGATTCTTCTTCTCTACTCTTGTGCGTGCTCTATGAAGTGTGGCCGGTTGAATACATTGACTTTCGTCTTAAGTTTTACTTCAAAAGTTCAGTTCATAACGAATATCCTTGTATAAATTATTTTTCGTCGTATCAGAAAACAAACTTGTCAGTACGTTTCACTCTGTAATTCAGCTGCGAAACTTGTCGGTGAAAGGTGGAGCAATGTGTTTCTAAATTACTACATGAGCCAGCAGAGGTTTGGTTTGAAGTGGTGGGTGTGTTAGGTCAATGAAATTGCAACTTTCTGTCTAATAAAATAATTGAGACGTTTGAAGTGGGTGCGGAACTTTTCGAAGCTCTGCTCATTATCGTTATATTGAATGAATAAGTAAACAGTTTTTGTTCTCATGTACTTACTTTTATCTGTAGCATTCTTACATTCATTGTTATATGGTTTTGTGTACTTTTGGTATTTCCTTTGGTATTTGGCATATCATTTTTGCTTCAACTGTTGATGGCATGACAACTAAATGCAATGTCACTATTTAACATGCTTTTAAAGTGAATCATTGATATTCACGTTATAGGTACATTATATATATATATATATATATATATATTACATTCATTCAGTTCCAGCTAAATCAGATATAGCCGTTAACTTCCTTCATTTAACAAATGTCAAAACCTCGCCTTCTTTATTCGTCCACTAGTTTACTAGCCTCTCTTAAGGGTAGAAAAACAGCGGATGATGGGCGCGGAACTAACAACACTACACCAGAAAATGAATGTAATCGCTAGAGAAACTTCAGTGCACAGAAAAAACAATAACTTAAGAAGTGAACTGCGTGATCACAAAGGAAACATTCAGTAGCATCGTTGTGGAATATTTGTGTGAAAGGGCAGTGGAACCTTTTGAGAGTGATGTTAAAGGAAACCTGTATAGTTGTTTTTGGAAGAAATAGAGGAAAGACAAGGAATGGTGCTGTACAGACATCTGGAAGTTAACAGGGGCGAGGAAGAGAGAAAGAAATTGTGTAAGGGAAGATGAAGCAGTTGAAAGTTGAAGACGAAAAGAGAAGCTGAGTTCAATCTATAGGTCACTGAATGTATAAGTAAATGAAGAAGAGTGCTAGGAAAGACAAAAGACATTTTTACTACACACTGGAAACTAAAGCACAACAGGCTGCAGGTAAGGAGGACGTCGAAGCACTATATCAGATAAACAGTTCGCTATCCGAGAAGAGATGGACACAGATGAAATGAATGAGAGCTAATGAAGGGGACCTAATTATGAGTGCCACGTGCCAGGTGATCCACAAGGGAAAACTCAGTGTAGCGTTTGAATTGGAGACATGAGTGAGACAAGGCTGCTTACTGTGACCTATGATATTCCTGATTGTGGTGGATTGGACCACATATCAGATTGTGGGAAGCGAAGAGAGAGGAATTCGTTGGGTGAAAATGAAGAGGAAGACTCTGAAAGATTTGGACTTCTCGAACTATTTATGTCCAATGTCACACCAATTCAAAGATGTACAGGGAGCGACCAACCAACCAACAGATTTGAGAGAAGAAGCAGCGAAGACAGTACTTCATGTGAACATGAAGGTGATGAAGATAGGTGACCAACAACAACAACAACACCAACAGCAGGCAGCAATCACTATCAGCGGGAGAAATTTAAAGGAAGTCGCCTGTTTGACTTATCTAGACAACGTCATTTCCACAACAGGTGGCACAGATGAAGGTGTCAAAGGCAGGATTGGAAAGGCAAGATAGAGCTTTTCTCCCGTGAAATCAATGTGAAAATCTACTGCATTATGCATAAAGAAGAAGATTGAGATTTTCAACACTAATGTGTCAAGTCAGTTCTTCTACATAGTTCAGAGACGTTGTGTGTCACAGAAAGTATTTTGGGCATATTTCAGACTTCCATGGACGTTTGGTGGATTCTGATAATGAGACGATGAAATGGGCTAAACTGACGGAATACTCAAATAAAGTATTATTATATTTCAA